CAACAAATTATCATTACAAAACATAACAAGTATTTACTGGTAAGAAATTGATTTTGTAATTCCCAATATTTTCGTTGTAATTAAAATGTATTATTTTTACCATTGAAAACGGAAGGAAACCTCGCAAATGCTAAAAATTGTATTATTTTTATATGTCAAAACATGAAATTTATTAATCAATAGAATAACTACGTTAAGTCAAATGCGAAATTCGCAAATTTTTTTAGTCTTTTACGATTCTGTTATTTTTGTAGTACTGTTAGGTAGCACTTTTATCACACATTTTTTTCTTGTTGACAGTTCTTTGTTTTTTCAGCGCTGTGAGATGACTCGTTGGTTGCTGTGGGTGGTTAATAGTTGTTATTCTTCTTTTCATTATTAGTGATTATCCGCCATTTCATTATCATATTTTACCCTTAATAAATCTAGAACCTTAAAGCTGGGCTTTCGCTTTTTTTTATTGCCTTTCGTTTGAAGTCCGGTTATTACCATCTTTAACACTATTTTGTTGGTTACTCATTCTGTGATTTTGATAGCGAACAGTAATAAAAATAAATTTGCGATTATCATTTCTATCAAATTTTTATTTCAATATGCTATCTTTCAACTATATAACTTAAATTTTTTGCGAAAAAATAGTAATTATGTGGCTGTAGAGATCAAAATTGTCAGTTTGAAACCGATTTTTTCCTATATTCATATCTTAAATTCCATGCATCCTCTATCCCTGTTGGGAATACGGGTTAGAGCATCAACGAGGTAACACATACCTGCTGTAAAAGGTGATTAAAATTCAGTTGACAACAACCGACTTTGTTTGGATTATAACTGGAGTTTTACTTTCAAGGAGGAAACTATATCCAAACAATTAGTTTTATTTAGTTCCGGCGGCGTTCCATGGTGTTAAGTCTTAACTGCAGATAATCACTAAAACAGAGCTTAATGTTAAGCATGGGGTTAAGCCTTAACCGTAGATAATCACTGAAACAGAGTTGCGAAATCAAAACCAGGAATTGGTTTATCAAATTTAAAACAATCACTAATATATCAGCTTCGCCATATATCTTTTGTTACTATTATTTTTTTTTTTTTATTTAATTTACATTTATAGTATTGCAGTCACATGACTTGTGACAGTTTAATACCATTAATAGATACTCAGTTTAATTAATTTATGCAAAAGACCTAATTGAATAAGTATAAGTATATAATGAATGTTATATGTGAATGTTATTAGTATAACGGTATATTTGGCGCCAGAGAGGTATGTTAAAACCAACTAAATTTGTATAATTTTTTTTTTAGTTTAGAAAACAAGCCTAAAATGTAGAACTTATAGTGACTATACTATAAGGCTACACTACAGGCCTCCCAAATTTGGTGTTGTTGAAATATATTACGTTGGAAGCGTGAAGAAGAACTGATTAAATATTAAGAGGAAAATGCATCACATTCTTTACGATTGTGCACTTCTGATGACTTTAACTTGCCTGCATAAATAAATCTAGATTATTTTTTATTCTGACTAGAATTGGTCTTTACAGAAGTTCTATTTTAATTTATAGTGCTTCTATTCATAACAGCTTTGCTACTGTTAACTAATAGTTTGTGATTTTTATTTTGACATTATATATGCATATTTCGTGTATCTAGTCTATATGTTGAGACAAATCCAACAAAATTTAAAGATTGTTCAAAATTTGATATATATTGCACCCAGCCACTTCATCTGTTGGTTTAAGATCATTTTAAAGGGGACGTCTATAGTTTAATTTTTGTGAAAATAATGAAGAGCTTACGTATATAATACGGTTAGAAACACAATTTCACATCAAAAACCGAAAATAAAACATTAGTTGTCTAGATTAAGGGTCTTTAATGGTTTTACTTGATGGTCTTTTATTTTTCTGCTTTTAGAGATTTACTTTTTACAACCACAGTGTGATATTTTATATCACTAAAACTCCCTCTTAGGAATGAATGTTGAAGATTTCCACCTGAATGTGGAAACTTAATTAACGCCAGTAATTGAAGGCGAGAGATATGGTCAAGAGGGTTAATACTTACAGGACTATTTTTATCTAATCTAGAAAGCATAGGCATGGCGTAGATAGATTGGGAGTACTTGAAGGGGGTGGTACAGAATTACTATATAAACCATTGAAGTAGGAACGATTGAGAAATCCATCGAATAAGAAATATAAAACAATAATTTTAAAATGTAATAAAATTAGTCCAAAACTTATTTCAACAATTAAGTTAGCACAAAAATCATTGGAAATCAGCTGGGTTGATTTATTATTAACTGCATGTGTATTTTCTATTCTGTAAGAATATATGAAAAATTTTCTTATTGTACCTGGAGTCAATATTTACAAAAGATGTCGTTAATGGTCTGATAAAGGTGTGATTGCAGTTTAGTGAAACGAGTCCTTAAAGAAGCATAGATTATTTCTAAATAATAGGTTTATCGAAGCAGCTCCTATTACAGTATAAAGAATATGTCAATTAAAAAGCTATACTGTATTCCTAAACATGGTATAACGTAGTGGAATTATTTTTGAGTACAAAAAACTATATTATAGAATAAACCGGTATCACTATGTATTTTATTGTTGCGTTGTAATTCTTCTTTACTGAATTCCGTGTATAATTTTCTTGGATAAAGATTTATGTTGTTCAGGCCTATCGTTGGTTAGAAACAGTTATTGGGAGAGTCTTGCGTCTTTGTACTTAAATTTCTTCAGATTTGATCTTGAAATTATTAAAAGTAGAACATTATAGATTTTAAGCCGGTTTTCTCTTCAGCGCCACTAATAAGGTAATCATAATTCAATATTAATATATACTGAAACTAATTATACAATTATCATATTATTATGGTATTATTATATTAATATACCATATGGTATATTAGTCATCAGTCACCAGTCTACTCTGTTATATTAAAACATACATATGTGTGTTGTCGGAAGAAGGACTGTAGCGTGTCACCTGAGTTTAGAAAAAAAATATGTAAAAGGTTTATTTTTAATGAAAACCAATAAGAAATGTGAATAATAATCGCATTGGATTCGTATTTGTATTGTTGGAAGTGCAGACGATGTGCCTATATTTCATTAATTTACGGGTACGTTGAAAAATCCAAACAATGAAGCTTTTCAATGTTGGTGTTGATGTCATGTGATTGTATTTTTATGGTTTTAATTCTTATTTATTCTCATATATTTTTTTATTTATTTTGTTAAGTATGCATTATATAGTATTTTTAGTATGTTATTTAATACAATTTATTATTATTTTCCGTAGGAATTTTATTTTCTTAAACAATACATTTTTTATTCTTCAATTATTTCTCATAGAGCATTTTTTCCTCTTCCATTCCAAACAGTTCAACGTCATTTGTTGTTCCAATTTTCTTTGGCGTTGATTTGATTTTAATATACACTGAACCTATGGATAAATATATTATCTTGTTTTTTATTTTCCTTCAGTATTAGTCTAGTATAGAGTATATTTATTTTAATTTTCAAATGTTTGTCACTTAATCAATCACAAAAGATCATGATTGACAGAAATCCATTAAGCACGAAAATAAGTTTTTAATAAATATCTACAAAAAAAAAAATATATATATAGTTTATAAATAAATTTTTTAATAATTTTTATTTTCAAATTTAATAATAAATAAGTAAAAACTATTATAAAGTATATTATATTAATTTTAATTATTTTAAAATAAATTATGTCATAATCATTATATACGCAACATGTATAGAGTTAATAATTATTAATTTAAAATTTTAATTTTAATTATTTTAAAATAAATTATTTCATAATCATTATATACATGTGTAAAGATAATGTTTATTAATTTAAAATTTTGATTTTAATTATTTTAAAATAAATTATTTCATAATCATTATATACACAACATGGAGATAATACTTATAAATTTAAAAGAAAATTTAATATAAAGAAAAAATATATTCGTATCTGCTCCACTTTAATAATTAAAATTTTATGTATATATATATATATATACGTATAAACGCAGTTTTTTGAAATTTGCAAATCTACATAAAATTCTTTTAATTATTATTAAAAGTTCGCAATCCGTCAGTTTTGAGATCTTTTTGATCATAAATCAAATTGCTTTACTCGTAAAGTCGTAATCTCATTTGTACGTGTATGATTTGGAGTTTTTGCATTTTTAATTAAAAAAAAAAACTGCATATTTTTTTTGTAAATTATAAGCATATTTTTGTTTGTGCATTTGTAGATACAATATATATTTTTTTAAATCAGACAAAAAAGTCATAAAATCGAAATTAATATCAAGTTTCTCTTACGAGTATTTCATTTTTTTATATTTTGCTCGCATTCAATCAAAATTTTTATGTCAGTGATTAACGATTGAAGTCATTAGCAGTTCAGATCGTTCAAATCCCTTGGATTACTGCTGTATATTTCATCATTTATATGAGTTTTGATCGCTTTTGGCATTTTTGCTTTGCTGCAGTCAAAGGATTCGATCAGAAGCAAATCCCTTTTAATGTTGCATGGACTTAAAGCACGAATTTGATTTTTCAACGAAATAAAATATTAAAATTGTTGATATTTCTTAGTAATAAATGTGTCAGAATATTAATCATATTTTTCTTTTTTAATTTAATAATTTTATTTTTTCTTAATTAAATTTTAAAAATGAATCTCATGAAAAAAAAAACTATATGAACCTCATGCATAGTTTTTTAAATTTATTCTT